CGGATCGGATCGGATATTCGGATTTTCAAAATTAGTATTTGTGATGTGCTTCGCTTTCGACGGATACTAAATTATTTGCTTCGCTTTGATTCATAACGGATATCCGGATTTTTCGGATCGATTAAAGCAATACCGAATCGGATCGAATCTAACGGATAATTTGCCCAGCCCTTTGAAGTGGTTATATAAAATTTCGTTTGTTTTTATCATCGTTGGTTATTATTAGAGAGAAATGACTTCTTACACCAATTTTCTCTCTTTTGTATTGGTTTTGTCAAGCTTTTTTCCTCAAGTTACATCCATTACAGTTACCTTCGTCTCTTCCGTGACGTTGTCAGAAGGCAATGCCACAATTACAAGAGCACAAGAAATTCTCCGCAACCAGACACTTGTAGTATATGGGAATTTGGTTCAAGAGATTCCCGACAAAAAGGGTATGGATCGCAAACAAACACCGTACGTTCAACAATCTGCAAGAACGCTAAAATTCTCCAACCGCAGTCTCACACTCATCGATGACTCCAATGCTGTTATGTGGGAGGAAAAAGATCTAGTTAGTAGAAGTGGATCTTTGGAGGCAGAGCTTTTGGATACCGGTAATTTTGTTATAAGAGACTCCCAATACACTATTGGTTTTTGTGCGGTAGAGTTTCTAGACTTCGATCCAGTGACGAATCTAAAAATAATTTTCACAGATATCATAAAGTAACCTTATTATTATAAAGATACTATTATAAAGATAAAAAAACTTTTGGACGTACATTTATTCGAAAGTAGCAACAAAAACAAAAAAAGCAAGCAAAAATAAAGGAAAAATATAGTAAATGGGGACATATAAAGATATGTACACTCAATTTAGGAGTTTAACTAAAAAATTTTGCCATTTCATCCAGCAAAACCAATAATAATTTTGTCAGAGAATAATTTATATATGAACTTTACTGGTGTCACATAACACCCTACCACTCTTAGTAGGTTCGCCTTTGCTCCGGCCGATACATTGTTACCAAGTATGAATATGGATTTGGTAGTGTTCACATTGATTTCTTAGAAGACCCTACTGATCCATCAACTGGAGAATACTTATACTACACACACATCTCTAGGAGTGTCATCTATGGGAACATCTCTGGGAAGCTTGTGGAGGGTATTATTGATTGGGATGGTGTGCCAAAATATCGTCGCATACCAAGCTTCGGCATAACAGAAAACAGAGAATATGTCACTCAAGTTTTGGGACAGAGTACAAACGCAAGCTACTACGCCGCTTTGAGTTTGTCACAAGATGGGATACTAAGATTGTGGGTTTGGACTCCCACATACCAAGTATTTAAGTCTCTATGGACACTACCATCTGACGACTGCAATGATTTTTATACATGCGGCCTAAATATGTACTGCAAGATTAAACCTAAGGAGGACTATCATTGTCTTGAAGGGTTTCAAGACAGTGATCATGCACTAGAGTTGGAAACAGGAGGGTGTGTGAGGATTTTAGAGCTAAGTTGCGTCGACAATGAGTTTCTGAAGAAGAGTAAAACGAATCTTCTAAATACTTTAGATGACAAGAAGAGCGATGTTTACATGGTTGTTGGTTTCGAGGAGTGCAAGGATAAATGTGCCAAGGATTGTAAGTGTACAACATTTGCAATCCCAAACACAGACATGCGCAATGGGAGCATATGGTTTGTGCCTTGTGGACAGGGCCCTTAGAAGACAATCGTATTTACAACAACACCAACAATGAGGAGGGTCACGACTATGTCAAATTGGCTCTGCCTCATCTCAGTTAGTTACTTTTTTCTCTTATATTCAAATAGATATAATCACCAATAGAAATTTGATTTCATTTTTTTTTACAGAAAGAAACAACAAGAAAGAAGCCATGATTATTGGTTTTGCAGTTGGAGGCAAAGGCTTTTTGATAATCATTGGTTTGATCAATCTTTGTTGGGAAAGAATCAAACTAATCGTGGTAACAGGTAAATACAAAATTAAACTCTTAAACATTACTCTCTAATTCATTCCTATGTTTTAAAAACAAAAGAAAAATTGAGATTTGTTTTCTTTTTAAACTAATAATAGCAACATTTGAGGATCAAGAGCTAAATTAAACTTAACCAATACTTATATCTAAGGATATCATATGTACATTAATGGACTTCGAGGATAATGCCACCGCAACCGACATATTTTCAGAGTCTAATAAGCTTGGAATCAGAGGTTTTGGGATCGTCTACAAGGTAAATTAACAGTTACATAAAAATACACTTGAAAATATAAACAAAATTGTACTATCTCGTAAAAGGTAAGATTGATCGACGGACAGATCGCGGTCACAGGAATACATGATGGTATGTGTTTACTTGGCAAAATATGACGTTTTCAGCTTTGGGGTCATGCTTCTTGAGATTATCAGTGGCAAGAACAAAGAGTTCTCTAGGCTGAATAACGGAGAGACTACAAAGTTACGTAAGCATAAAGCAACCAAATTTCCATCTTTTTTTTTATGGAAATACATGATGTTTTTAAAAAATATATATATTTTACTAATAGAAACCGTTACAAGCTACAATCGAAGTCATACAGTTCATTAAAAAAACATTACAAAGAGATGAAAAGTTTGGATTACATGAACCTTTTTGATGTTGTTTAATTTTCCATGAAACAGATATGGAGCAATTGGAGCCAAGGAAACAAGCTAGAGATGGTGGATCCAGTCATTAAAGATACATCATTTCCATCTGAACAAACTCTAAGGTGCATACAGATTGGAATGTTGTGTGTTCAACTCTAAGGTGCATACAGATTGGTATGTTGTGTGTTCAACAACTTGCCGAAGATAGACCAACCATGTAGTCGGTGGCTTTGATGTTCGGAAGGTAGAAAAAATAATTGCTTAACCCAAAAACACGAATCAG